TCGTCAGGCGCAAGCGGATTGGTCGAGTTTGCAAGTTGATCTTGGCAAAGCTCAAGTGCGCTCACCGATTAACGGTATGGTTCTCAAACGTCAAATCGAGCCAGGGCAAACCGTGGCAGCATCACTGCAAGCACCGCAACTCTTTGTGATTGCAGAAGATTTGCGTCGCATGGAATTGCAAGTCAATGTTGCAGAAGCTGATGTTGCTCAGGTGCAACCTGGGCAAACCGTGACCTTTACCGTTGATGCTTGGCCAGCCAAAACATTTCATGGCATCGTTGCCAAAACCGAGTTTGGCTCTACCCTTGTTGATAACGTCGTGAGTTATTTAACAAAAATTCGTGTTGAAAATCCAGATTTATCTCTGCGCCCTGGTATGACGGCAACAGCTGATATTAATACGGCCGAGCGTAAAGATGTTGTTTTGGTACCCAATAGTGCTTTACGCTTTCGCCCACCTAAACCTGAATCGCAAAAGGACAAAAAAGCTGAAAAATCCACAGGTTTTTTAGGGAGTTTAATGCCTAAACCTCCTCGTGGTATGGGGGGACGTCCACCGTCATCTAATGGCAGCCGTAGTACTCAAAACCGTGACGGTGAAGAAAACGGCGCTCAATCCGGTGGCAATAATCGCCCTCGCGGTAGTCGAGTTTGGGTGTTAGATACCAAAACCAACCAGCCCAAGCGGGTCCGTATTGAAACGGGGTTAACCGATGGCAAAATGACCGAGGTCACCCAAGGGGCATTAACCTTGAGCAGTCCCGTGATCACGGCTATTGAAGATAATAAACAAAAACAATAAGTTATTTTATGCATTCTTCAAATGACCCCCTTATCAAAATGCGTGCCATCACCAAGCAATATGGCGAGGGCGAAGCACAATTTTTTGCCCTTAAAGGGGTTGATGTTGATATTCATGAAGGTGAGTTTGTTGCCATTATGGGGCCTTCTGGTTCGGGTAAATCGACATTTGCCAACCTACTTGGTTTTTTAGATCGCCCAACCTCTGGCGCGTATTATTTTAAGGGGCGCGATATGGCCAACCTTGACAATAATGAACGTGCGTTGATTCGTCGTCATTATATTGGTTATATTTTTCAAGGATTTTACCTTTTAGCACGAACCTCCAGCCAAGAAAATGTTGAATTACCTTTGTTGTACCGTGGTGTTGCTGCCAAAGAACGCAAAGACCGTGCTTTAGCCGCCTTGGCCCTGGTCGGTTTACAAGGCAAAGAGCGTAACACCCCCGCGCAACTCTCTGGTGGGCAACAACAGAGGGTTGCCATTGCTAGAGCCTTGGTAACAGACCCCCTTATTTTATTAGCGGACGAACCTACTGGAAATCTTGACTCAGAGCGTAGCCAAGAAGTCATGGAGTTTTTGCAAAACCTTAATCAAACACGCAAGATTACCATTGTGATGGTCACCCATGAACCTGAAATGGCAGCTTTTGCCGATCGAATCATTCATTTTGTTGATGGCAATATTCAAAGTGATGTCAAAAATCATGCTACGCATCACACTACCCGACCAAATCAAGGAATAACATCATGATTTGGAATGCCTTTTTGCTAGCGTTGCGGGAAATTCGCCGTAATCTGATGCGGGCATTTCTGACCACATTAGGCATTGTGATTGGTGTATCCTCAGTCATTACTATGGTGACTTTAGGTAACGGTGCGACCCAATCGATTACGACTCAAGTGCAAAGTTTAGGTAGCAACTTAATTATGATTCGCCCAATTCGCGGTATGGCGGGGACGGGAGGACGCAGTGGTGGCAATTTTAAAATGAGTGATGTTGAGGCCATTAAAGCATTGCCCAATATTAACGCAGTAGCCCCCACCATTCAACGCAGTGCCAGAGCTATTTATCAGCAAAACAACTGGTCAACGACCGTCGTTGGCACCACACCCGACTACTTAACCGTCGGTGCATGGCAATTAGAGAGTGGTCGATTGTTTACCGACAGTGAAGCACGAGTGGGAAAAGCTTTGTGTATTATCGGCCAAACCGTTCGTAAAGAGTTGT